GAGGAGGCTTCGGGGAGACCTGATTGCGGCCTTTCAGTACCTAAAGGGGGCCTTATAGGAAAGACGGGGACAATCTTTTTAGTAGGGCCAGCTGTGTCAGGACAAGGGGTAATGGTTTTAAACTAAAACAGGGTAGGTTTAGACTGGATATAAGGAAGAAATTCTTTACAATGAGGGTGGTGAAACACTGGAACAGGTTGCCCAGAGAGGTAGTGGAGGCGCCATCCCTGGAAACATTCAAGGCCAGGTTGGACGGGGCTCTGCGCAACCTGATCTAGTTGGCGGTGCCCCTGCTCACTGCAGGGGGGTTGGACTAGATGACCTCTAGGGGTCACTTCCAGCCCCAAACATTCTATGATTCTATGATTCTGTGATTACCAAGCGCTCAGCCTTTATTGGTAGGAGAGGGCTCCACCTTGCACAGCCTGCCTCACTCCAGATCTGCACCGAGACCGGGGGTGGCAAGTGCAGGATGTGCCCATCCACCTGAGCTGGTTTTCACCTGGGCAGCCCAGGCGAGGAGAGCAGTGGTCCAGGCCAGCAGATGTCCCAGCTCCCGGTGAGGTCCTCCTGCCTGAGACAGTGAGGTGAAAGCCAGACCTCATGTCCTGAGCTCACACTTCTGTCTATAAGCTTAAAAAAGAAAGGGGCGTCAGTCGGCACCGCTGTGGCTGTGCAGCAGCCATGAGCTGTCAAATCAGTTCACAGCCATTTCAGAGGAATCCCACCCACCACCACAACTATGGCATTCCTAACTAGCGCCTCTGAAATGGGTTTAAATAGTGTCATAAGACAGATGCTGTTGGTGACATTGCCCACTTTCTCTCATCTGTTGCCTCAACATGCACATTCTGGTTTTAACTTCGTGTATTTATTAAAAAATCAGCTAATCCCTAATCACTCGTCTGATCTGTAATAAAAGAAAAAATACTTATACTCCAGCCCATTTAACTGAAGCAAACATTACCCGTAGTGTTAGTGAATGGGTTGCTGAATGCCTTTTCTTTTACAGAAAAACCTAAAATCTTTCTTTGACAAATTGTTTACAATTGCTTACAATTACAATTGGCAATTTACAATTGAAAAAATGAGTAGGCAAGGCATTCTAAGAGTGTCTTAAAATATTTTTTGATGGCCTTAGTGGATTTCTAAATAAAATGGAGAAAGTTATTAAGCAAAAAGTATAAAAAGTCAATTGAAACTTTTTGCTACTTGGTTATTTCTAACAAAGAGCAAGTTTGTTTGCTTTGGTTTGGTTTGAATGTTCCCATGAGCTCAGCTTTAAGCTTGAGCTCAAATGCTGTGCTAACTAGGCACACTTGCCTGAATTGGGGACCTAAACGATAGTCTGTGGCTATGCGGTGCATTCCTGAGTCCTAATTAATTAACTTGGTTTTGGGGGCTCCTTTTCTTTTGCCCACGTCTCAGAACAGGTTAGCAATCCCTAGGTCTGCTGGGCAGGAGGGCATTTGCCTGCGCTCCCAGAACTTGGCTTTCCATCCAAAACTAAGGTGTTCCAGGCCTAGTCGAGCGGGGGGGTATGTTAACTGCTCTTGCTTCTCTCAGGGACGTGGTACAGGAGCAGCAGCCTACCTTCAAGGTTGCGAAGCTTCTGTTTCAAACAAGATCCTTATTGCTTTCTCCAGAATGCTGTGTTAAGCAAGGAACAGAAATGTAAACAGAAAGCACATCATATCAGTGAGCAGTGGATGAAGTTTTAACAACTAAATCAATGCAGGAAAAAACAAGAAAGAGATGCAGTATGTTCCAAACGCAGCTGGGGAGAAGCCAGTTTTGTCCATCCAAAGGAGAGTTGGAAGCAATAATCTTTACACCCCAATTCCCAAACCTTCTTTTCAAGTGCCCTGAATGGACCGTGGCAGAGGGGAAGCAGGTTGTTCAGACTCTGCGCTTGAAAGTAGAAACCAAAGTCTTTTGAGTCTGCTCTCGAGATTCGCACATGCCTGTCAGCAGCACAGGGTCTGTCTTGCGCTCCACTTGGTAGAAGGGGCAGTTCTTCAGGTGCTCCGACATGCACGCGATGTCGTTGCGCTGCCATTTGTTAACTCTGGAGAAAAGGCTGCTGAACTGCCAGATCTAGTATGGGGACAGGGACAGAAATTGGGGAGAGAAAACAGTTAGTGAAAATGGAAGAGGATTTTAAAAATCTAGATATGCTGAATAGTGGGCGTGCATTACTCGTACTGGACGGGCTAGTGAACATCTGATTGTGCAGGGCTGGCATAACAAGCAAAAATGGGGTCTGCATTGTTATGTACCTTGTACTTGCTGGTTTTGCTGCTTTAGTCATCACCTGTCATTTCTAAAAGGAAAGTATCCTACAGTTTTTGTGCCAAACCAGTGTGGGGCACGAGGAAACCCAGAACACTTGACCATCGCATGTGCGGTGCGATCCAAGATGTTTACAGCTGCATCCAAGATGTTTACATAGCAAAGTGACTACAGCATGCTTGTGTGATGTGTATCTCAAAGGAACCTGGCTTCATAAAGACCTTCCAAAGCATCTAACAGCAACTTCAAAATAATGAACATTACAACACTGTTGTTATTCACCCCACCCCAGAACAAGCCTGGGAAATCTATGGTTAAAGTTATTCCTAGAGGAGACACAAGCTTGTAAAAAATAGAAACGTGCAGGTAAAATTTTCCAATTCTGTTTGCAATGATACCATGTATCGTTTAGTGATATACTAGCATGTAGTGATAAGACTGTAATTAAGTCACTTTAATATTTGCTGTATACCACTAAATCAAATGAATTTTTTAAAGTCATAGTAGATTTATCCTCCCTAAAAATGTTTCTTCCTGTGGAAGAAGGACAGTATGTGGGTGTGCTACGCTTAAGATTACCTGACCCTGTCCTAGTCCTAAGTACTCACAGCTATTACACACAGTAGTCAAGAAACTCAGACTAATAACAAATGGAATGTTTTCAAGTAGAGTCTGTGCATTGGAAGCAAGATTCCTTGTGTGGTCAGTTCAGAAAGCTAACATGAAAAGGGTTAGACAGTCCTTAAATTCAGCGCTTTGAAATTCAGTGGTCTGAAATTGCTTTACAATAACTGAAGTTAATTGCTGTGTGATTGCTCAGCTGGAATTTCTTCCTTTTATTGAAGGAAGCCACATCCTCCAGTAAATTATTTCAGTGGCTAAGTTTTGGATTGGGCTAATTCAGCTTGCAGCCACCAAACTTTGTTACACAGATTTTGAATTCGCCATGCTTCCTGCTTTCTCTTAATAAAGAGTCATAAATTGCTAAGCTTCCATTTGATAAGAATCAATAGGTGGAGATGTTCAGGGGTCTGCTTGAAAGCCAGGTCCTTAGATAATTTCTGGGAGTCTTCCCTGGATCTCTAAATTATTTGTTCCTAGATCTCTGTCTTGTTTACTTGGTCATGCTGCAGTCTCTCATGTTATTCTTTCAGTTTTATGTTAGAGCAGCTGCAAGGCTACCAGCTAGGAAAAAAACCCACAACTGTAATAACTATTGTTCAGCTAGGACTTAGACTGAGCTATGCTTACTTATTTCTTTCAGGCTACCTTAACAGCCAGTAGGGTTGTAATTTTCCAGCACAAACAGTGGGAGACCAGCCTTGCAGAAGGCTTCCTCTCCCCATGCTGCTCCCACAGGTGCTGACAACCCAGCAAGTCAGACGCTGAGGGCAACCTTGTGAACCACGAATCATGAAAGCCCTTGGGGGCTCATGCAAACACCTGAGCTCCTTTCACAGCCATGTCTCCTCATTCTTTACCTTTTTGGCATTCTAAAGCACGTTTTAGTTTTGACATACCCTAGATCGGCTTCTAAAGAACAAAAAAAAAAAGTATGAACATCAAGTTCTTAAAAAATCCATGTGTAACCTTTAAATATCAGGAATTCTCAGTTCCCAATGCCTAAAACTGGTGAGCATGCAAACAGGCTACCCAAGACAGCTTGGGTGGGGACTTTCAGCTAGTCAGATGTCCATTTACACCTTCCTACCTTTGCTAGATATGCTGCATTTTACAGCCCTGACCTCTGATAACTGTGGTGCAAATTACAACGTCATGAACCTTCCACACATCTTCATGCTTGTATGCAGCATCCCTTGCTATGCTTGTGTTTTATCTGGAGAGAAGCCATGGCTGTCTTTTTCCTAGCATCACGGTCACTTGCCTGTTTGCGAGCTTTCCATGTAGTACCGCCATGGGAATACCTTTTTTTTTCCCAGACCAGCAGGACCATTCCCCTCTCTTGAAGAAGAGTGGCACAGATGTCCCTCATCAGCACCGACACTTGCGACAGCTGAGATAAACTGAAGCTGTCCAGAAACCCCGCAATGTACTTGAGCACTTCCACTGGGAGGCTGCTCAGCGAGTCCTTATTACTCCCTTGATTAGTCACTGTGGAAATGGACTTTCCTGATTCAGCGAGGAGGGTGTCCACCTCTGGCTTAATAGCAAATGTCTTGAGAGGCTTGCTGAATATAACCTTGGCCTTAAGTCCTTCGGGGCGGAAGTGATTTAGAACAAAAGTACATCCCAAGTAGGCCAGCGGGCAGCGATGCTGGAACCATCCATCCAGACATGACTGGATATCAGCGTGCACGTTCTTGAAGTGGAACGGGAACTCGTCCCGCCTGAAGAAATGACTGCAAGTGAATGTGAAAGCTGAACTGCTTTTGTTGTGTCTTCTGGTTACACATTCAGTGTAGAGCTCCACGTGGAGTTCCGGTGGGCTTTCTTCATCCAGAATATCTGCTAGAACAGCACTGGAGGAGAAGGGCTCCAGGGGAAAGCTGTATGTCTGTGTTGCAAAATCCACAAAGAGTCCATCGATACCCCTTGCTTCGGAGATCTCATGGCCTTTCAGCTCTTTTTCCAGTGCACACAGCAGTGTAGCTGTAACTATATTTGTCTTAGGTAGTTCTTCTAGTTTTATTCCCAGTTCTGAGGTATCCACTGACTTGTCTGAAGTTGGCACCTTGTGGCCCAGTGCATCTCCTAGTCGTGCTCTTTTGCCACAGTAACTGACTGGCACTTTGAAGGTGTAGACGGTCTTCACCTCCTGAGCTTCCAAGTTCCCATAGACGAAGTCTTTTTCTTTGGGAGTGCAAGCAGCTAGCTGGCCAAAGCGGATGAGCATTCCCCCGTGATGTACCAGATACATGTTGTAATCACCTACACCAACTTCCTTCTTCAGCCTCTCCAGGACCCCTTCTTGCCAGGGAGCCAGTCCCGTCATTTCTGTATTCAGTGTTACTTGTTCAGACTTTTGGTCCTTTGCCTCTCCTGCACTGTCAGGTACTTCCTCTGCCTTCTCTGTGGAGCTGGCAGCATGAGGGGTTGACGTTGTTTTCTTGGAAGCCTCCTCCGTCTTTTGTCCTGTGTTGGCTGATGAACCCGTTAACTTGCAAGCCAGGAGCTCTTTGCTGAAAATGTTCTCCCAGGTTTTGTAACTCCTCAGATCCATTCCTTCTTTGTCCTTTGCCAAATCTTCACGCTCACGTTGGCTGAGCTCAGACAACTGGCCGTCGCCCTCTTGGGAGCCACAGGCTACTCCTCCCACAGCACCTTCTTCCCCACCCATGGCTTCATCCATTAACTCTTCCACTTCATCCTTTTTCCTCCACTCTGGAAACAAGTCGGCTATTTTCAAAGTCCTGAAAAGTTTCTTCTGGTCTCTGAGTGCCAAGGCTGTGTCCAGACACTCTTCGTTCAAGGTCTCCTTCATAATGTTCTTGTGGAGGGTTGTGTCTGAATCCACGTTCGGCCAGCGATTCCACTCCATTGAGCAGCAGACCACACTGGCTGGACAGACCTGGAGGTGCTTCGCCAGCTTAAAGCGGGCCATGGAAAAAGGGCAGCCATAGGCTGAGTTGAGGCAGGAGACCTGCTCTAAGGGACAGAGCAATTGGTGCTCCTCCTCCTTGCACATGTGGAAGGTGGCCCCGCAGCGAAAGCGGCAGCTGATCACCATGCAGGAGATGGAGGGCTCAGTCGGTGTGCGGCAGTGCCGGTTGAAACATCTCTCACAGTGCCTGTGCTGCCCAGGGGGAGCTTTCTGAGCCCGGCGCTGTGGGTAGCAAAGACAAGAAGACAAGAGTTATTGCCTGAAGGAGGAAAGATGGCCACAGACCCTCGGTGCCCATGCTTGGTTTCTACGTGTGAGCTGCTCCCATGCACTTCTAGCGGGAATAAGGCTGTGAGCAAATGACTGCCAGCTCCATACAGTCATGTATCAGCGCTCATCCCCACGGTACAGCGTGGCCACATCCGTGGCCCCACGGATAGCGGCATGGATATAGATAAGGTCCTTACTTGTTAGCCTGGCAGAGGCAGCCAGGGTTTGAAAGCGAGCTATTTTCTGTCCCAGTACTTGCACTGGGTCTGTCTAGGACAAGCTGCTGAAATCAAGACTGCCAGAGGCACAGTGAGGGAGCTTCCCACTTCCTCAATGCTGTCTTGAGTAGGAAACATGATGTTTCTTTTTCCTCTCTAGAAGAACTAGCTGGTCGTTTGGCCTACGTGTCTTGTCATCCCCCTGTAAAGGCATGAGTGTTGCGCAAATGAACCTCCCCTTACTCTACACCAGCAAGGCTGAGAGTGAGGATTATCCTCGTGATCCCAGTTCCCAGTTTGGAAACCAGCCTGGGTAAAGGCTAATTTGCCTGGCCTTCTATAGTCTGCTTTTCTGATTTACCCTTAGACTCCTAGACGATGCCTGCATATCATGGAACAGAGACTGTGGGGGACTTTCCTTCAGGCAGGTTATTTGCTACATCTACTTTTGTGTGTCAAAACCTGGAATAAGGCAATGCCTCGGTCTGCATTTTGGAGAGAAGCTCCAGAGTGCAGTGAAGGCTTCTGGCAAGGTTATACTCACCCAGTTAAATCAATTTCTTTAACTTTTTTTTTTAACAGACTTTCACCTTTCTTCCCCTTGCTTTTTTTCAAGTAGATAGGAAGGAGGAGAAGAGGGCAGGTACGGTTTATATCATGCTCTGCTCAACACCGTGGTGTGCAGTTGGGGCAGAAGGGGAGCGACAAACAGAGCTTTTCCCTTCCTGTGCTGGTGCAGGGGAGAAATCAGCCTGAGCATGCCTTTTACAGGGTGTCTCTTTGAGAAAGAATCCTTTGGGATTTGTTTCAGAGCATGGCCCTACAAAGATCGGTCACCGCTGCTCTACTTTTTCATTTCACCCTACATACTTCCAACGAGTCAGTGTCAAACACTACCCGGAGCTGGACAGGTGATCCTGAGCTGGTTATATTTTAGATTCAGTTTACGAAGGTGTTAGTGACACCACAAGAGGCCAGAAAACAGAGAAAGAGGACCCAGGCAACAAGTAATAAACAACAGCAGTTTATAATTTTTCATAAATCCCATGAATTTAACATTTTGCGACCGACAAACTGGATTAAAAGAACAAGCTGAGGTTGCCAAATCAAATGTTTCAGAAATTTCAATCCTCTTTATTATATAAACAGGTTAAATGTTTTCTTAAGGAAGGCTGCATTTCTGTTCTCACACTTCCATATTAATGTGGTTTCAAAATATATATAATTTTTTCCTCTCCTCCCCTTAAAAACTTTTGATATAAAAAGGACATAGAATTTTCCTGAGGTCCAACAACAAAAAGCAGAAGTACAAGAACATGATGTATGAAGATCCTTGTATAAAATATTCTCCCTACCTGATTACTAGCTTTGTGTCACAACGAACCACTGGCTTTGGTTTCACTGTTGGCTTTTTTGTTCATTCCCAGCAAGAGAGTCAAACCAGTTTAATGTAAAAATAATGCACTTATGAGGCCTGCTTCCAAAAGTTCTCAGTTCCCCTTGCTCATAATATCTCTACCCTTGCAACAATTCCCGGCAATAGCTGTTAGTCCTTCCTAAAAATGGGAAAACAGAAGCACAGAGTCTGACAGCAAGTAAATGGAGATGGGGATTAGCATGAAGCATGCCTTCTGTTGTACAAAATCAAAGAACGTAAGAAATTACATCCTGGGTCAGAACAGCGGTCCACCCAGCCCAGCAGCCTTCTTCAACAACGTCCATAAGAGATGATGTTCCGGGGGAACATGTAGGACCTCCTGTGGTCCTCTCCCTTCATACACAGTTGTTGGCCTAGAGAACTAGAGGCTGCCCAGTCGCTGCTTGGAGCTACTTCCCTGGATACCTTCAACTGGTATCAGTAACTTGGCCTAAAGAAGAGCTGCTGCAAGTTGAAAAGTCCCGACTTCTGACTTTCTGGTCCTTGCTGTAGGGGCTGAATTCCAGCTTGGTTCAGCCTACTGTGAATCTTTGTGGAAGGGAAAAAACTAATGATAAGGAGGAACTGGAGTTCTGTTTCCAAACAGGACCCAGGGCACTTTTTTTTTCATGAAAATGAGAAAAAGATTTTTGACAAGTCTTCCCACCACACTTTCTATGCAGTAGGAACTGCCACAGGCCCAGCAGACTCTCATTTGGCTCTGGGAATAAATAGACATTGTTAGTAAAATAATTTAGACTTTGGGTTTTTTTTTGAAGGTTAAAGAAAATACAGTAGTGTCATTTACCTAGATGTGAGTGCTTTTGCAACCCCAGGCTTAAGCGACCTAGCCCTGAGGAGAGCTGTGCTGCAGAGGAACTAGGCTCAGGCTCAAGGGGAAGAGATGCTTCGTGAAGCTGCTTCCCCCCTCTTTCTTGAAGGTACTGACTTAACTCTTCATCCTTCATACTTCACACCCTGGCAATGGAAGTCACAAGCAATGCTGGAGGAGGAAAGATGCCTGGGAAAGGCAATGCATGTGGGTTCCTGCAGCCACTAAAGACCACACACTCATGTTTGAATTTGATGTGCATTAATTGCTCAATGCCTCTTTGTTCCATCCTTTGCAACTTCCAACGCTGACCAATACTTGTTCACACCTCCTAATCAACCAACCCTGTTCCCTCTCAGTGCTGCAGAGTAAAGGAACACAGTGGTGGTCCCTTTACCCGGGGACAAACTTACACTCTGAAGAATAAGGGTCAGGTACCTTCACCTTCGTTTGCATGGAAAGAACTTGAGATGGCAATGCAGAAAATTAGTATTTTATGACTACCCATTGTAACATTCCCTGCCTTGTCTTGGGAAGTACCAGCTTCTGCACAGGGTACTGGCCACTGTGGCCTCAGCCACATCCAGCCCTTTAATACATGTGGTTTAGGGTGGCACCTGTCCTGCTTTAGGCTGTTCAGTTACATCTACTTCTATGCCGCTCAGAGAAGCAGGAGATACAGATGGATTTATTTCACGTTGGCAGCATCCTTGCTGCTCTCATTCTTGTAACATTTTGCTGCAAATATAATCTCTAAAAATAGTCCCAGCTATGACTTGCATAAGGTCAGAGGAAGGCTGGGTACATTACACCACAATAAAAACATGAAGGTGTGAACAATACTTTCCACTGCAAAAGTAACTCTTGGAGAGAAATAATTGATAAATAAAAATACATCAGAGGCACAGGCCTTATGGTTCTCCAAAACACAGAAAGGACTGATCGCAGAGTTTCTGGAGACGAGCCTCCTTTCACACTGCTGTGTGCTGAAATGAACCCCATCCGAATCGCATGTAGAGAAAGAAAACACATGCTTTGTTTATGAAAAGTGACCATATCAGAACATTCAGACCCAGAATCAGTTTTTATCATTATTCGGGTATTTTTTAGTTGAGATTACCTCATCTCTAACTTGTATACACTGTTCTCTTCAGACAAATGATTTCTATGCCTCTCTTCTCACTGTCAAATCTGTGAAGCTACAGGACAGGAAGAAGGGATAGAGAATTTTTCTGATGTTTATCAGGGTCTGAATGCTTCTTCTATTCTGACATGCTGGTAATCAGGAACATAATAATAAGTAGATAATCTGTATTTTAACTGATGATCTAGCTAGCTTGGTGGGTGAGTTGATTGTATTGTTGTCAGTACACAAACTACAACTTTCAAAACCCTGCGCAGAAAGTTTACCAAATTTTGCCTCGGTAAGTTTGATACATGACATCCAGAGGCAGGTGACACACAGATATGTCAGGTGATGAAACATTTCTGTAAACCTATACACTTTTTGTTTCCCTGCAACTTGCAAAATTTCCTAAGAGCTGAGTTAGAAAGAAAACCAATCCAGAAATGGTTACTTGAATCATGTTCAAGCTACTGTGGAAAGAAAGGATGCAAATAACAGTCCACAGTCTGTCCACTTTGGTAAATCTTTATTTTTAGACTGTCATGACAGCAAATCAAGTAAGGTTTAAAAATACACAGCTGCTATTTTAACTGCAGATATGTCTGTGTCTGGAGCAGACCTGTTCACTGACAATAACTTATGGTTTATAAACTAACTACAATTTATTTTCAGTAAATATATATTTAATTCAGTTTCAGTCAATGAGCCAAAACAATACAACTGTTGGCTTATTTGGCATTAGCTGTATGTGACTGATCATATGACATGCCAGGGTTATACATCATATCTGAGCTCTTTGCAGAGAATCAAGGGATGCCTCCCCTTTTAAAGAACCATCAAGAAGGGCCACCAGAACCCCTAGATAATTACCCTAAATAGTGCCTCTGAGATGAAAGTGCAAATAAACATAACCCAATCTCTTTCTAAGATTTACAACGTGTTAAGGAGCTCTTAAAAAAATCTCAGGAAAGTTTGCATCCTAATGCTGGAGCCAAGAATGTTAAAGTTATATATAATGTTACAATAGAAAAACATTTTCAAGGAATGTGAATACTTTTGGTGAAGTGTATAGGGCAGATAGGAGATATTCTCTATTGCTTTTAATCCTCGTTACCCAGTATGTGGTGTTTATCTCATTTTTATCATAATACTTAAATCCTGAGATGAAAACAGAGTTATTAATTTCCTTACAAGGTTTTTCAATATATTTACTTTCTTAGTATCTGAGGGGGTCCACAACCAATAATGAATTTATTTTTGCAGTACTAGAGGTGCACTTGAAGTTAAAAGATACTATTCTATTTGGCAGATGTAGAATTAAAGTATGGAAAGATGAAAAGAAATAGAATTAAATATAATATTTTCTATAAATAAATATATATATACACACACACCAAGCATGCAGATGCTCAGGTTCTGATGTTGCACTTGCAGTTGCACGCCTCCCTCACAAAGCCCTTGGCAGAGCCAGCTGCAGAATCATATTTTCTAGGAGAGCATCTAAGTCTCCTTAAACTAGAGATTTTCTTCTCTTTTTGTGCAGCGTTCTTCCTCAATCACTACATACTTAACAACCTCAGCAAGAAATCAGGCTTGGGTCTCCTTTGGCTACACAGATATATTTATTTCTTGGAGCTGAGGAAGAAATGGCCCCTACTGGGCCATCTTGTTTAGACTGTGCTCTTGCCTAGAAAGGTTGGACCAGATGATCCTTGAGGTTCCTTCCAACCTGGTATTCTATGATTGATTCTATGAAAACACTGCCATTGGAAACCATACCATACCTCATCTGTACATGACTCTCAGGAGCCTGATTTTTCTAAAGTCCCGTCCTTTGATACAAAATAAAAAGCAAACCCAAGAATGCCACCACCTGGAATCACGGTGATCCCTAAGTGGGTCAAGCCCCACATCTTGACACCCACAGCAGGGACAGCTACAGCTTGAGCGACCGCCTTGGCGTTAGGTGTAGCGGGTCACTGTCCTTCCTTGCACACCTGCTCTGCAATTGCCATTCAGACTCATTTTGCATATACGTGTTGCCAGCCGAGCTTTAAATGAGTTGGGCAGTGAATGTGGAAGGTGGAAAGGGAGAATAAAAGGTACAGATTAAACCTTCATCAATAGCACTAATAAATTTATAGCAAGCATGGGCAAGGCATAGTTTCTTTGCAGCTCACAACTTGAAGAAGTCCACGTGGGTTTTATAGGGGCACTTTGATTCCAGGACAATCCTTCTGGTGAACCTCAAATCCCCAGTATAAGACATGCAGAGTGAAAAGGTTTTCTGTGAGATAACTGACCTGTTAGATACGCCCAAAGATGGAAGGATGAGGCTGTGACAATTAGGGAGCTACTACCTGTATTTTCTATCTGGGGATCAGCTGGTTGAGCCTGCGGTGTTTTGTGGCAATAACCACTGGTTCAGAGTTACTGAAGAGGTTGGAATGGCTTTATACTGAAAAACAATGCTTTAAAATTACAGGGATGGAGCAGGTCCACATCAGTCAAGCATGTTCCTTGCTTTTCTTTGAGCGCACGTGCTGCTCAGGTTCCCACAGCAGCACTTTGGCTTCTCTTCAGCTCCCTACACCTGGCATGTAGGACTGTGGAGCTCAGGAGAAGCTGTCACACCCAGCTCCCACTCGCCTGGTAAATCTGTGTTGCATGCTTGCATGCAGTGAAGAGTCACTGAGACTTCCTAGAGCAATTTCTGTCCAGTGAAATGCACTGGTGCTGTTATGGGAGGAGCAGGGGAGAGTTTGGAGCTGTGAGGCATGGGTAACACAGGGCACTGCTGGTAGAAACCCTACACCATGCTCCCCACTTTGAGACCTGGATGACCAATATTTCTTGCTCCTCCCTACCTGGCGCAACATAGCCATAGCCCACCTGAGACAAACCTACCCTGAAATTCCAGGTGCTGAAATGGTCTCCTGGGCTGGCAGTACGGTGCAGGGCAGCCCAGCAGCAGGGTCTTATGCTGGGCTTGTTGGGGAGCTGTGTGGGAGAAGGGGGAGGCCATGGCATGGAGCTGCTCTGCTGTTCCTTGTGCACGTGAGGGGTCTCTGTGCTGTCCTGGGTAGAGACACAGCCAGGCAAACTCTCACTTTGCATCGATAACTGGGAAATGGGTTTGTTTTTGTTTTGAGTTCAGCAAATAACAGGTTCCAGTTCAGTTGCAGTTTGAGAAGAAAAAAAAAGAATGGTCCCAACTGTGTTTTTTTCCTTTGGGCTCAGGTTCTATTTTATGCCCCAGTAACAATGTCATTAACATACCTTTCTGAAAACTTCTTGAGATAATCAAGTGAATGGTTTTAAGCAAAACAAAAGAAACCCAGCCCAAGGCAGATGCCCCCATAGAGAATTTCAGAGCTATTGGTCAAAGTCATTAGAACAAAAGAGAAAAGATTCCTGAATAAAAACTGCTAAGCAGCCATGAGTCTGAATGGTACAGTAGTACCTCTAACACATGTGATCATCACACTCATCATCTTATTATTCAGCCTAGCCTACAAACTTACAGGTTGCAGTCTGAATCTACAAAACTCAACGGATTTTGTCTCAGCATTTTTGCCAGAAGATTGCTCTTGCCTCTCCTCTGAGAGTATCTTACTGTATCTCCTTGTCTTACTTCTCTCGAGTTTCTTGAAAATTACAGAAATTTAATTTTTATCTTCTGTACTGCTACTGAAGCTCCTATCTTAGAATCAGCATCTCAGTTTTTTAAAACCCCAGATACAGTGCTGCAAAAAATCCACTGAATATATTATGGAGGTGGGGTTTTTTTTCAGAGTAGCATGTCACAGAAGCATTCACAGTTACCAGCTGCCTCTGTTTCAGGGTGTCATTTAAGACATCTTGTGTCTGATTATTCCACTTCATCTTAATTACCGAGGCTGGTTTGAAGATGTCTTGGTTTTCATAGCTCGATACAGTAACCACCGCATTGCATAAGGTTTGACCAATAAAGACCCCAACTCTATTTACAAAGCCTTACCTTAATCATAGAGTCCTTGTGTGTGTACCAAACACTTGCTCTCCTGGTTGTGCTCAGCTGGGTTGAAGTGAGGTGGGTGAGGGAGAACTGCAAGCAAAGAGGAGAGAATGGGAGGACACGGAGCAAGCCCAGGCAGAAACATCAAGTAGTTTTGGGATGTTAAAAATAAAACCCGTGCATGTGACCATGTAGCTCAGCTTACAGAGCAGTCTCTTCCACTGTATTTGTTAACACTGTCACTTCTGGAGTGATACTTCACAGGGAAGATATGAGAAGCAGAACCAACAATGCTCCGTGCCCTCTGCATGAGAGGAAAAGACCAAAACCCTTCCCAGAGCCCTGTGTCAGCTCCCTGCCGCTCTCTGATGGAGGTTTGCTCTTTGTAACTTAACTCCCCTTGGTGCCCACACCGGTTTGTGGTTCCTGCTGCTGGAATTGATGCCTGGCTCCCATTGTCACCAACTCTAGCAGCTGGTGCAGGCAGTGGTGGCA